AAAAGATCTAAAATATCTAGAGAAGATTTGTTATATTTGTACTAGAAAATTAGGTCAAAATATAGATGATGAAGAACGTTATCTGGCAAACTCAAAGATAGTTAGCCTTAATGGAAAATATGAAACTCAAATAGAGCAGATAACAGAAGAGTAATGGACTACCAATAGACGTGAGGACCTTAAAGACTAGTGGAAAATTCTTAGCGCTAAAGCATAACAAAAAAGGAAAAAAGAAAAACTTGCAAATATAAATATATATATTGATGCTCGATATAAAGCAATTCAAAGAGAGCTAAAGCATATGTTTAATAGTCTTCTCAAAAGGCCTTCCAAAAAAGTCAAAATTAACAGAGTAATGAAAGCTAGAGGAGAAAAGAAGATTTTGCTTATAGAAGAAAGCGAAGTACAAAGTGAAGTACGATCACACTTTATGAGGCAATTCTAAAAGTGCAACACAAAACAAAACTCCTCATCTTCAAAATGGATCAGGGCTTATAATCCTATAGAAAAGCTAAGTGAAGATATTTACTCTAACTTATCTGACCAAGTTACAGAAGAAGAATGGAGAACGCCCTTAGCAAAACAAAAAACAAATTAGCATCAGAAGTATCAGGAATAAGCTATCCTCTAATTAAGAGAGTGGGAAAAGTAGCTCAAAAAATCTTTACAATATTAGCAGATCAGTGTCTGGCTATAGGAGATATTCCAGTCAAATAGAAAATAGGTTAGCTATACCCAATCCCTAAGAATGAAAATTGGAATTATGATCTCTCAAATGTTAGACCAATTGTACTCCTAGAAGCCTTCTGAAAAACAGTAGTCAGAATACTTAATACAAGATTAGATCATATTTTAGTCATACACAAAGTATTAGAGAGTCCTAACTATACAGGATTAATAGAAGACAGTATAGCAAGCCCTATTCATATTATAAATAATATCCTTGAAGACGCAAGACCAAAGAGCAAAGAAGTTTGGATCTTGTTTCAAAACATGAAAAAAGTATTTGACTCAGTAAGCTTAGAAATGATAGAAAAAGTATTGAGAAGAATTAAACTTCCCAAAAAAACAATAAGCTTCTTCTTTAGCCTATATAACAAAAGAAGAATTAAGATTATTACAGAATATGGTCTGACTTAAGAATTTGTAGCAGAAGATAGTTTTGACCAAGAAGAGGTAATTTCACTACTAATATGGCGAATCTTCTATAATCCTTTATTATACTTAATCTATAAGAAAGAAAATATAAAGTATATTATAGACTCAGAATAGTCTTCTGATCTAAGCTCAAACAGAACTCAAGTATCATACTAGCAGCAAGGAGTATTAGCTTATATAGATGATACAACCTGGATAGCAAGATCAAAAGTAGAGTTACAAAAAATTATTGATATATCAACAGAGTTTTATGAACTTAATGATATTGAAATCAATAGTAAAAAATCAGAGCTTTTGGTATTGAACCTTAAAGACAAAGAAAGGAAAGTAAATTTTATACCTGAAATTAGTCTAGGCAAAAACAAAGATATAGTACGAGCAAAAAAAAGAAAAGAAGCAATAAGACATCTTGGAGTATGGATATCTGAAAAAGGTAGAAAAGAATGTAATGAACTAATCATCTCAAAAGAGGTTGCAAAGATGTGTAAAGCTATTCTATAGAAAAAAGCATCAGTAAGCTAGCTGGTTTATTTAAATAATAGTGTTCTACTACCGAGCATTGAATATAGGCTTCAAACTTTATTTCTCTCCAAAAATATATGCAAGTATATTCAAAGGCTAATTTGGATACTAATCAAAAACAAATTAGGTCTAGCAAAGTCAGCTTCAAATAGTATGTGTAGTTATTTAAAAATATTAAGAATGCATACAATATAGCAGAATCAGTTAGCATACCATATTACAGAACTGACAATACGTATGAATAAACAAGATGAGCTAAGAATTACTACAAGACTCAGAATTAAAGAAACATAACACAAAAGTACTTGTTTAAGTAATATAACTAGCAGCGAAGTAAAGTTAGAAGGTATAGTTCTTAGACATAACCTAGCTTTTAAAATGATAGCAGAAGCAAAAAAACTAGGTTTTAGTTTTCAAGAAAGCAGTTTCTACGAAACTAGTTTAAACCCAAAAGGCATGAGTCTATCGGATATATTAGAGAGAAAAGAAGCAATCAACTACAGAAATAGTAACAATATGAATATTTTTATATTAGAGCAACTAATTATAAGAAACGATAACATCCTGCTAACATGGCAACAAGTCAAAACTATTAGAGGGTATAAGGGAAGAGGACGAAGACCAAATTGGTACAAAGATTTGGAGGCAAAAGTCCTTGAAAATAGCAGCTCAAGAGTGCTGAAAGCAGAGTTCCAAACAGATTTGCCAAACAGATCAGCTATAAGGTACAAAGAACTAAGAGTATCTGCTGATAAAAGAAAAAAGAATGAGTAATATTTGAGAAAGAAGGAAAACTAGAATGTGGAAGAGTTATAAGGAAAGAATCTAATTACTTCATAGTAGAGCACTGGAAGATAGAAAAGAATGATAATTAAGGAACTTCTACATCAATGACCATGTGCAGAAGCTGCAAATTAGGGAAATGAAACGATATGAGCTGCCTAATCAGACTTATGTACATAGATTGGCACCAGGTACTTAACAAGATTTATAGAGTTAATGAGCTTGCTTCTACTACAATACCAATTATGTCTTATAAAGATAACAGAGAAGTAGTTAACGCTGAATTAATAGACAACAGCAAAGACATAAAAGTTAGTATTATGGAAATAGAAGAAGCAGTTATACATAGAGTAATTAGAAATAATAATTTACAAAATGAGCTTAGTAGAATAGTGAGATTACTTAAAAGAGAGGAGAAGCTAGATATATATACAGATGGCTTACTAGTAGTAAAAAACGTAG